GCGGAGCTGCAAAAAATGCTCGCCTAAAATTAATTAAACTTAAAATTGTGACAAACATTTATTAAATGTATAGAAATGTTTGAGACAAAATTTCTAGACTTCTATTCTGTTCTGTTGTTCTGTTCTGTTCTGTTCTGTTCTATTCTATTCTATTCTATTCTATTCCATTCCATTCTATTCTATATGGGTCTGTTGATGCCCAAATATATTACATCACTGATTACTGTGGTCTGAGACAAAGGCTTCAAAACGGAAACAATAAAGGCATCAGATTCTGTCGGATGTGTGTTTATCACTCAATATGGGTTAGCACCATCCGATAGGCTATTCAAAGATGTGTAATTTATAACTATTGACAAATCATATCATGGAGGCCTATATTGCCATTTAAAAAATGTAGTACAATATTGACAAATATAATTCATGTCAATGAAAGAATGAATTAGGGCTACAGGTTACTAGATCCTTATTGAATTACTATTTTGTTACATGTATTAAATGCAGTATCTATTTTGGGCTACACTTTGATATTGATATTGCCATTTACCCATTTCAATGTTATGTTATTTGCTTGCTTTTAATTTAATGCCATGCTTGAATGATTGTGAAATTGGAAAGTGCATGCAGTACTTCCTTTGATTATTATAAGATGACGAATAAGCAACAGTTGTGAAAGTTAGGTTCTTGAGTTTGATACTTTTGTAACCAACCACAAAGGTTAACAAGAGTGTACACAGGGGTGAAGAGAGCATGCTGCAATGAGGGACGCTTAACCGCATCTATAATATTGCTGTTTAGAGATTAAGAAAACTTTTATTTTGCATTAACTGCTTTGTATTTGATTTGATTTGATTTGACTATCCTTACCCTACCTGAATAATCATAGGGTCAAAGGTGTAAGATAAAAGGTCACATCCATTAACAATATTTAAGCACTGAGTAATATTAATGAACAACATGTTACTATAGGGTATAGGATCAGGGCTTGGTTGAGGGTAGTTGCATGTAATTATGCATAATTTACTGTTATTACTATGGTAAGTGCATGTAACATATGTGGACACTGTAAAATAACACATTACCCTATTTTGTTTTGTTGCTTCTGCAGCTAATAGGATTTATGAAATTTGGTATTAAATCCCAAGTAGTTTTACAATTTGTGTGAGCAAAGTTGACATGGTTGTGAGTGTAACAGAAAATATGAGCGCAATTACTTGAATGAAAAAATGCAATGTTGCTGAACTTGTAGCAGGTGAAATGTAAATAAAGGACCTTCAGGATGAAAAATGACTTTAATTCTCCCTGAGTTTATAAAGGTTTTCATAAATACCTCATGATATAATGGCAGTTGAAGTTGTAGGACATGTTTTATTAGCATCAGTAAAATGTATCAGACAAATAAAGATATAACTAACTAAGATATAATTCAATTGTATATAGGCTATGGAATATAATGAAGTTGTCTTATGTAGTTAAGGGGTTTTATTTGTTTATTTGGAATATCAGGGAATTTTAAAAACGTGATTTCTATGCTTTTTAATTGTGTTTATTCTATTTATTTTTATGAGCTTTTTTAAAAAAAAGCCTTTTAACACAACCTTTTTCTTTAAAAAAAAATATAAATATTTGAATATCAGTTTTAAAATGTCATGTTGTTCCAATGCCGGTGCGAACAATATACAAAAGGATAGAGTAAAATAGAGTAATATAACAGGTAGTTATGCACTCATTCAACTTTTCTGCAAAAATGCACATGTATGATTCAAAAATTACATATAAAAGATTTTCTATTGTACTAAAAATTTAACATTCTTCTACTTTATTGGAGTCTATAATGTACACTATAAATGTTGTCTAGGTAGACGCTTAATAGGGTTTGAGACGCAGCCGATGTTTTTAATGTTAACATGCATTCAAAATCTCATCAATAGAGTAACAGCTCAAATTCGAATGAGCATAACCGATACAACACATCACATATGCAATTCATAATCAGTAAATGTCTGTAGCCTGAATAATTTGCGCGACCACCCACCCACCCCCTTGTTGCAGGAAAGACAAAGCGCGTGACGCAGAGAACAGGACAGGGAAGAGTTAACCATTACCGCTGTCTTTGGGGAGATGGTGATGTAAACCCCTAAACCATGTGACACTTTAATAAATCATAGCGCCGACAGAAACAAACACACACTGTTCCATCGACAGGCGAACAAAACACCATTCTCCACGTCTAAATCAAAGACCGCAGCGGGAAAAGAAGCCTAGACCGAGCGCGCGCGCGGAAGGATGTGCTGTCTGCCGGTGGAGGAGCAGACTTTAGGCGCGCGCGGAGACTCGGTGTGTCGCGGGCGCGCTCCGCTGCCGTTTGCGCACCGACTGCGCTGGATCGGAGACCAGCTGGAGAAGAGATGGGCTGCAAACGACAAAAGCTCCGGCGGTGGACAACGAAGCGGCGGGGAAAACATCATCAAAAGCTTCCAAATAGTGTGCACGGTCATTCAAGTAACGCTTCTGGTGTTTTTAGTCAAAAAGCGACACCTGTAGGTGAGACGAGGCTCTGCTGGTCTACAGCAACAGGTAAGAATGACCGAGAGGACAGTTAGGACTTTATTGACATGCGTAGTGGCTTTCTTGGAAATACTTTGTTTACATGTTACACGTTATATTGGAGTAATATGCATTCATGTATTAATAGCAATTATAATGTACACTTTGCAAGCTAGCAAATTGCTTATAAAGAGGAGGCAATACAGATAATAGGCTAAAATCTTTTTGAAATTAAACTTTTAAGACTGACAATTTAGACTTTATATTCAGTTTGCTGACTAATGTGACTAAAAACGGCTTTAAACAGAAGTGAAACAATGTAAATTAATAAAACAAAGTATTTATGAAGCTGTTATTTTTTATGTTTTCAACAGTTTGAAGGTATGCAAAGTACTATGGAAAGTAGAAATTTCTAAGTCCTTCTAAAATCAATTAATTATATTTTTTTAAATACACGTAAATGGAAGATGCTAGAAGTAAAAAGTAAGTCTAAAACTTTGCCGGTGCTTTAATTAAAATGCAACTTTGCTATATTAAAAATATATTGTTTTGTATTGGAACCCCACAACTTATAAATTAAACGCAAAATATACACAATTTCGGTGTATTACATCATAAGTCAGATTCAACAAGTAGTTAGTAATCTTTAACAAAATATCAAATATTATTAAAGATTTATATTGAATTCATGTCATTTCATTAGCTTTTTGCATTGATTGCAACTTCTGCGCATTGATACATAATGCTAAATCAGCTTAATTCCCAATTTTCCCCCCATTAGATGAATCTTCAGATTCTCCTGGGACGATCCGCTCCAGATTTATCGGAGAGGAGAAGGTGCCGGTCACGTCTGCACTCTGTAGAAACTTGCCGTGCAAACAGTGGGTCAATGTTTTCTCATCCATGTATATCTCACAACCTTTGCAGTAGTGTTGTAATGGAAACATGCAAACAGCAGACGCATCTGTGCTGTACATTACAAGCGTGCTGATCACATTCATAACAACCAATACTTCATCCCGGAGGTTTCTTGATTACCGAAGCATGGCAAGCCGATGTCATTTGGTACGCGTTTGTTTGGTTAGAAGTCTTAAGGTCAGTGCAGTCAAACCCAGCGGTGTCTCCTGGGAAATCCTTCTAAATAAAAGGCTGATGTCATTGTCCCCTGGCGTTTGCGAGGAAATCTTTTCTACCACTATGGCAATAGGAGCCTTGCCTCAACTTTGATGACCTTGCAGTTGAGTTTTTCTTGTTGCTGGTAAAAGTTGAGAGGGTGCTTTGGATATGCAAAAGCTGTAAATGATTAAAATATGATCAATCACGGTCAATCTTCAGAGGAGAGCTACCAAAAAAACACTACTACCAAAACCTCTCCTCTGCTTAATGCACTGTAACATATAGTTATAAGCTACTGTAAGTGACTATGCCATTCAATATCTGAGCTGTGATTTTGTTTCTTTGTGGTTTTTATGAGATATTTATTAATTTGATTGTCCTTAACACTGTACTCTTCTCAATGGAAAGCATATTTATACTGTAGAATGATTTTAAGTGTATTTGAACTTGATGTTGTTCACAGATGAAGACAAATCTTTTTTTAGGACTTTTTATAAAGGGCTTCTGGCTTGATTGTTTGTGTCAGTGTTAATCTAGAAATGTGACATGAATGAGATTTAATGCGAAATGTGAATCAAAGGGCATGCTACTGATGTTTACATAAGCTACAATCTTTTATAGTTTACGTTACTACCATGTGTTTTAAACATGTTTTTACCTCTGCTATTTTGATATTGTGAGTTTTGTCATTTATGAAAATAAAAAGGCTTTAAATATACACAGCAGTGTTATTTAAGTTTTATGAATATTTTGAATCAGTTTTTACTTTTATATATTTATATAGTTTTCATGTTAATTTTAGGATTTTTTTTGTTATTCCGTTATTTAGGATTAATTTATTTAGATTTCAGTTTATATTTGTTTCCAGTTAATAACTTTAGTGCTTCAACTTCAATGTATTTCAGTTTATTGCCAAGGCAACATTTCTAATTTTCATTTAGTTTAAGTTTTTCACCTAATATTTCAGTTTTATTTTATTTCAGTTTTATTTCAATGAACAGCAAAGTTTTTAATAGTTTTATGATTTATTTAAGGATAATAACCCTGACACAGATAACTTAAATGTCATTATGAAACAGATAGCTCTAGACATTTAGGCAAATTAACTGGGCTGAAAAATGACTTATTCAGTATTATTAATAAATGTAATTATCAATTCACCACCACTGTTTTCTATCATATTACTGTTGTCATGATTTTAAATAAATAAACCAATGAGACGATAATGATTTTACCACAGTGAACTCGCTTAAATTTCCCATGGTTAACTTGCTCTAAAGCTTTATGTCTTGTGAATTTTCATTTTAATAAACAATTTAGACCATTGCAAAAAACAATTGACTCTGGATTAAGTTTAATAGCTTGGATAAACCAAAAATAAAAGTGTTACAAAACAGTTGATTATCATGCTTAATAATGATAATATTAAAAAGTCAACAAGTTTTACTTGTTGAAAAGCATGTATAAGAAGACAAAACACACTTTTTCAACTCTGCTATCAGACATAATGTAATGCTATTGTACATTCACCAATGTAACATTTTGTCACACTTCCCTACAGTACACGGCCATGTTTCATCATATGACATTACGAACAGCAACGTTTTATGCATGGTGAACATGTTTCATCTGATTCAACTGGACCAGAAAACCTTTGTCATTCAGCTGGGTCTCTGTTCAGTAGATCTGAAAGTGTGCGGACGTTGTCCCATCCTTCCAGTTACGCAGAGTTTCGACCACTGCTGACCGGCACAGCGGACACGTTCTCTCGCGGTCAAACCACAGGCATAAACACTCCTCACAGAACACATGCTGCAAAAAGACAACACATTTACCACACAGGAACTCCTTCAATACTGTTTTAAAAGCATCTCATAGAGTTGAGAGCGTGCAGATCTGTTCCCATAAATGTTTTTTAAAGTGGTACTTCACCGCTGGCAAAATGGGCTTTGAATAAAACTTGGCTGCCTATACAATAGAAAGGCAAAAAAAAAATTTAATCAGGGCTACCTGACTAGAAAAGGGAGAAAAAAGGCTGCTGTCTTCCCGTTTGTCAAAAATTCAACGCCCATAGGGGGAGGGGGAGGGGATGAACGAAACTTTCGTTTTCATGAAAGCCCCGGAGCTGTCAAAAGTCTGCCGGATGACATGTTTGACGTCATCCGGTGGACTTCAGCGGACAAATAAACGCGAATTTCTCAGTCCAGGTAACACGGAGAATGAGTGTACATTGTTCATTTACTACAGACATTGTAACTGTAACAATACAAAGCACCATATTACCATATTTTTGACCATATTGCACAAATGCTCAAAAGACCCTGTAATATATGTAATATTAGTGGAATAAGTGAGTCATTGTCTGTTACCTGACAGAGCAGTGCGATTGGCTCTCTGAATTCACCCTGGCAGATTGCACACACATCCCCAGCCTCGCTGCACTGCTGAGTACTGGCTCTCATGCCGTAACTCTGTGAAACACATGCAAATGCATATATATAAATAAATAAAAAACAGTAATATTGTGAAATATTACTATTTAAAAGACCTGTTTAATATATTTTAAAATGATTATTTCAGAATTTTCAGCATCATTACTCCAGTCATTAGTGTCACATGATCCTTTAGAAATCATTCTAATATGCTGATTTGCTGCTCAAGAAATATATCCTTTTGATATCAATGTTTGGGCTTTGGCCACTAAAAACAGCGGGACATTCTTAAACGCTTAAGGTGAAAAACACTCTAAGTGCCTTAATGTACTAAAACAGTGATATTGAAAGATCAAAATTCAGTATACACCTTATTAATGATGCATATAGAGGCGGGCAGATGAGCCTCGATTATGAAAGCAATGTGCTAAATGGTTAAGCGGCTTCTTTATAATGGTTTTCTTTGGAGAAATGCTTAACGAGAAACTGTGCATTGTGTTTAAATTCTGGGTGCATCTGCTTGCCTGTACATAGTTTGCATCATCAATAAGGTGCATGTTGAATTTGGTCTTTTAATATCACTGTAGTACATTAGTGCTTAGTACAAACCAGGTAAAATAACTGGCGGGCAATGGAGGAAAGTCTTGTTTTGCCCTCCAGGTGGGCGTTTCTATAAGGGTCTGACTTCATATGAAATTGTATGTCTGTTTTTAAAAAGTATTTTTTAATGTTTCATAAAGAGTAGATGCCATTTATTATAACGATGATGCACATACAAAGTGACACCCAAAGTACCAGAAGCCAAAACGTTTCTGGAGCATCGTTCAGTGACATTTCCAAGTCAAACTACTGTTATTTATTGTTATACATATACAATTGTTACACATATTTCTTTATTGTTCACTTTAATAAATGCCTAGAGAGAGGACAAAGCACTCACCTGTGAGCTACAGAGAATGGCGAATGCTTTTCGAATGCCGGATATTCTTCCACACAAATCAAATGACTGAAACAGAGCAAAATTGCAAATTTAACGCCACACACACGTACAGAAAAGATCGCCTGAATAATGAGCTCTGAAAAACACATTTTGAAAGGCTCTGAAGTGCAACGCCACATGAAATTTATCTTTTAGTCTTTTTTAAAAGGTTTGAAAAATATAACACTATCTGCAACAAAAGAATCAAGTAAATAAAATAAAAAAAAACACAAAGGAGAATGACATCAGCATTAACGTTACATGGAAAAGGCAAAATCAGATAGACTACCTTACAAAGACTGTAAATGATAATCAGCGTAGCCCCCAGGAAGTAGCTGCTGGACGGATCTTCACCCATGATGTACTTGTACCACAGCTGGATGGGAACCAAAGCTCTGAAAAGTTGACTCAGCTCCTCTATGATTAGATAAAACTTCCCCTGAAAGGTCAAACACAGATATAGATCTACATTTAAACCTCTCAAACTAAACCCTTGATAAAGACTCAGAGTCTCTGTGCAGATATGAACGAATTCTTCTGGAGTGGAAGAGCAGGTCAGATGTCAGACGTGCCCACAAAGGTTTCAAAGGATTTAAATCAAACAAAAGATTTATATTAGTGCGTCTACTTTTCAGATCTCTAATCATTGTGGTGTCTGGTGTGAGATGCTAGACTGTGTAATTTAGCAAACCAATAACACTGTATTGATCAATGACCAGGACTATCGGTTCAATAATTGAAAAATCAATCATCTGAAACAATATATTTTATTCTACAAGCCTCATAAATGTAATGGGTTTGTCTAACACTCTCTTTTTTCTGTCTGTCTGTCTGTCTCTCTATATATACACACATATACATACATACATACGCCATAATATATATATATTACACACACAGACATACAGAAAAGTAATAACACATCATACTGGCTAATTATAATTAAAAAGTAGTCATATGAAACAATGTACATACTAACAAAATGATTTATTTACATCATATTTATGAAGCTATTGGGATAAATATCTGTTTTTCATTGGATTGGAAATGGAAAACACCTAGCATAATATTAATAATTATAACAATAATACAGTTTTTCTCAGTCGATTTGGTGCATTTCTCACATCACTATTTCATTTGCACATGTTCAACCTCCACATTTAGTCATTTGGGCACATCATAGTAGCAGTTTTCATTCCTTCCAACAAATTGCAAATGCTTTTGGACATGCATCAATTGCTTTCATAAAACTCTCTGCTGTTTTATAACATTATTATTTGCTTTAGTCATGTCAGTCAAAATTAACTATACTTGTGAATGCTGAATAGGCATTCCATATAAAACTAATAGTCCTCATTTCATTGCTTGAGTCATCACATACAAAAATGTTGATCTAGTAGTCAAAATCTGTCAAGCAAATTGTACAATTCTTTATCTTTTTTTTATCCTAAATTGACCTGATGAGAAGGGATGTGCATGAATGATTTAGTACTATGTATGTTGTATGTTCAGTTCCAATATATACTGCAATATTGTTTACAGTTGTGCACAGCTCTACCCAAAGGGAGTTTATGTTTGTTGTAAATAAGGGTGTATTTTTTCTTTTGCACAATGCTGTGAACAAATTAGAATTGCAAAGAGCATATGCAGTAAAAATGTGAAACATACATATTCAGTGTCTAGTACCTCACTAAATACAGTAATGTGCAACTTTACTGTAGTTTTCAAATGGCTGTGCAAATAGTATATAGTGCTGTCTTGAGCATTTTCAGGTAGTGTCAACAAGATCTGACTTTTTTGCATTGGAAAACATTTACAGAGTAAACTGTCATAATGAAAACATGACAAAGCCATTTGACTATCTTGTTCACTATGGTGTCAGGCCTTTTCATCTCGATGACACTGACACTTTCATGGACATGAATACTTGCTTTTGAGGAATGAGCTATCCATTTTGAGCAAGTGACACGCTTTTGCAGGTTATCAACTAGGTTTTGCAGTTTGTACTAATTGTTTTGAGAACTGCATTAACTGTTGTGCAAATGTAAATAGTGATGTGAGAAATGCACCAAAGCGACTGAGAAAAACTGTAATACATTGTTAATTATGATGAGCCTGTATGATTAAATAAACCTTTAGTAGACAAATTATCATTATTATTTCTTAATTTCCACTAATTTTTTATCAGATAAAGCAGCTAGCATAATAATAACAATATTAAATTCCACTGAAAGTTTATTTAATCATACAGGCTCATCGTAGCTACAAATTAGTCAAATGAAACAATATACTTATGGATAAAACATATAGCATAATAATAATCATTTAAAATTATTATTATTATGCAGTACATTTTGATTTAAATAATTAAAAAAGAATCATCTGAAACAATATACTTACACATACATATTCATGAGGCTTGTAGGATAAATACATGTTTTGTTCATTAAATAAAACAGCTAGAATATTAATAATAATAATAATAATAATGTGTACAATATTATTATTATTATTATCCACTAAATGTTTATAAACCCAAACAGGCTCATTTCACTATGATGCTTGTAAGACTTCCAGCTATGACAGCCAACTGTTTAACAACACTCTTACACACTGAGCGACACTCAAGCACCGGCATGAGATGACAACACTGAAACCACCGCACATCCTTCCTCTAGCTGAATTTGAACATGATCCCAGTCTCATCTCATCTGTTCGTTCAGTAACTGTGAACATCTTACCCTCAAGCTTTAAAGATGCTGTGACATTTTAGGGGGGGGGGGGGGGGGGGGGGGGTGTTCTTCTACCGAAAAATGGCCACAGTCCAGCTCTCTGCGCTCTCCTGGCAATTTACTGCGCAGCAAACAAAACTGGCAGAAACGCAGTACACCTGCTACCCACATAAAATATAACAAGCTCACCCAACCCAATCCCTAATCATAACATTTTCAAAGTAGCGGGATAACAGTAAATCTCATCTAACTTCAGTGTAAAAGGGCAACACTTTCACGCCGAGCTACGTCATGCAACGAAGCCTCTGCGTCTAAACTGATATTGAACAACAGGATCGAATGCTTCAAATATACCCAACAAAGCTTCTGGCTTAAAGCATAGACAGCTTTGTTGCTTATCGAGACAAAAACAGCCATTATCCATTATATAAAATTCATTATATTTCATAATTTTCTATTCTAGGCTTTTTTAGTTGGGTTTAGTGCCTCTGCAGACACCGTAGTGACCTATAACTGTCAGATTATACGTTCGCCGTCTCAGAGTCGAGTGTGGCTGAATGTGTAGCTAATGTGAAGTGGTTTTTGATCAAAAAGACTAAAATCAAGTCTGAAAACACCGAACATGAAGGAACCAACAAAAATAAAACTTGAAATGGTGATTACACCAACATCTACTCTGATGGTAGACGGTAAAAAGCTGTATAATCCAACACAGGGACAAGACACAATTATTAAAAAACTATTCAGGCAGAATATTTATTGTGTTATGATATTCATAGCTACTTTTGTAACTGAAATTAAGTTGGCAATATAAACAATAATGTACGTAAATTATCTAATTAAATCAACATCTATAAATGTATATAGTGATAACTTGTTAAAAGAACCCATATTATGCTTTTTCAAATATTACCTTTCAGTGTAATATAGCTGTTTGTGAATGTAAAAGGTCTGCAAAGTTTTAAAGATCAAAGTGCACGATAAATAAAGTTCTTGTCTCCTACTTGAGTCCTTCAACAAACGCCAGTTGTAAGCTGAGACCGGAAGAGTTTGGTTTGTGTTGTCGACATTTCTGCTTTTTTCTGCGAATACGCTTTGCATGCACTTCCAAAAGATGAAAAACTAATGCCATCCTTCATATCACTGTGTATCAAGTGCTGAGGAAGCCTCAAGAGCTCAGAAATTCAGATATTATAATAATGGCCGTTTAGTTTCAGACACACACTGTAAGCAGTTACCAATCACAACAGACTGGGCTGTTTGACCAATCAGAGCAGAGTAGCTCACGGAAAGGAGGGGCTTAGAGACTGAATCTTTGAACAAACCGTTTTCAGACTCACTGAGAAATGAGGTGATGATGCAATGTATATTATAAGAAAATTAAAGTGATTTTTGACCTTGGATGCATGCAAAACTATTGTAGCAGACCTCCAAAACAAAATTAGGAACCTTTAAAATAGCATAATTCTTTCACCTAGTAAAGATAAAAACCCCAAAATCCAATTAACTTGCACTGATGAAAGTATAAGTCATCTACATATCACATTAACCACCTAGCAACCACCCAGAACACCCTAGCAACCTCACAGAAACCCTTAAAAACAAGTACCAATCATATTTTCTTTAGAAAAATGCACAAGAGTCACCTGTACAGATTTTATAGAAGAAATGTTTTTTTCTTTATACAAAAGATTTCTATTTCAAATAATGCTGCCTGTTTCTATTGATCAAAGAATCCTGAACAAAAATCAGTTTACACGGAATATTAAGCAGCACAACTTTTCAACTTTGATAATAATAAATGTTTGTTGAGCAGCAAATCCGCATATTAGAATGATTTCTGAAGGATCATGTGACACTGAAGACTGGAGTAATGATGCTGAAAATTCAGCTTTGCGTCACAGAAATAAATGACATTTTAAAATATATTCAAATAGAAAAACTGTCATAAAACTTTAAATCATTAAAACTTTAAATCATAATACTCGTTTCAAAATATTACGTTTTTTACTATATTTTTTATCAAATAAATGCAGAGACATCCTGCAAAAGAATGAATGTATTATTGCAAATATTATTACTAACAAAGGATTGGGTATCTCAGTTTAGTTACTAATCCAAGATCCACAATCATCTAGTGAAATTCCAGATAAATGTCTGAAGTCATAATCACCCACATCAAGTGCTGACTGCCTGACACTAGTCACAGCACAGGATGCATAATGACTTGTTGGACTCCACCTGACAGCGATTAATCACCCTGTTGGGGAGCTTGCTAGCTGACTGACGGAGATCTGTAACCTCCGTACGCAAGCAATTCATCTTAGCCAGAGTCCCTGCAGCCCTGTATTCGCTCACACTTAAGCGATTAGACAAACTGGAGCTGGAATTCATCCAACTACTGAAAAGTTGGTCCAACTGCATCGTGGGGGAGCGGCTCATTTCCTCTTAGTTTTAACAGCCCTGTCCGTGACTTCAAAACAACAATAAAGAAAACAATTATCAAACACAGGTGGAGGTCCTCAGGGTGGGAAATGGATTAATTTATCTAAGGGCAACATCATATTTCTTATAAAAAAAAAACTTTTTTCTATGCATACGTTTTTCATTTGGCAGGCACGGGTTTGAATCTGACCCCCATTCCCATTAATTTCAATACACAAATGCTGTATTCAAGTCATGTTATGATATTTAAGATTTTATTATAGCTGCAAATTTAGTGAGACAATTAAAGAAATATTAGAATGAGCAAATCAAGTTGTATGCATTTTGTGTACTGTGTAGATGAAGAAACCAGATCAATCTTGGCAGAAAATAATACTTAATTAGTTGGTTAGGGAAGCAACAAGCTTGTGCAAAAAAAAAAAAATGTCCCATCATTCTTGTGATTGCATAAAAGGATAAACTACAGAAAAAATGCACCACTTGTTCTTCATTAAAAAAATAAAAATGAATAAATGACCATTTCAGATGACACCAACTTTGAATTGACATAAAAAAAAACTGTCAAATGTTATCCATATACTGTATCATTTTGTAATATTAATAGACCTTATTCAGAGCAGCAGCATGACGGGTATGAAATTGAGGCTGTGAGGGATAGACTTGCCGTGTTTCCAATGGCATCCGCTGTAAAAAGCTGTATAAAACTCCTAGATTATGTACAGTTTTGACATAATCTAGGATTATGAGTTTTTTGTCAACTAAAATTTCTTGGAAAGATATTTTTCCAGTGTTTCATGAGCAGAACAATCCAAAAACATTAAATAACAGTACAGCCCATTGAAGAGATGCATGTCTATCCCTCACAGCCTCGCTTTCATTCCCATTAAAAATCAAAGATGGCGCTGCTGTGAATAAGGTCTATTGCTGCCTAACTTGTGTCTTGTTGTGTATAAATGATGTTAACTAACCACATAACATATATTATTGTTACAATTTCTGTCTTGTTTCACCTGTTTTGTTTAAGGACTTTTATTTTGATATGTATTTTCTGTTCCTATTGTTTCACTACCTGTGTTTAGTTCCTGTTTGCCTTTGTTCCCTTAGTCACCCTGTTTGTTACCATAGTTACCCTTGTTTGTTCCCATACTGATTAATTAATCTCACCTGTCCCTTGTTAGCCCCTTGTTATCTTGTGTATATATACCCATGTTTCAGGGGGCGTTTATACAACACCGTTTTCAACTAAACATAGAAAAACAATTATGCGCTTTGGTCATTTATTTACCCGACAGCGATGTTTTAGGGGCCAGAAATCGCAAACTTTTAAAACCGGGATTCAAAGTGCATTTCATTTTTGAAAACGATACCGTTATCGTCACTGTGTAAACAACAAAACCACGAATCTCTGAAAGCGGTGAAGTCATGCACATGTGTATTAAGTGTTCAGTCTATAGGTGCGTAGTGTTTCTTTACAAAGTGACAACGCCAACTACTGGCCAGGGAGCAGAATACAGCGTTTTTATTCGTTTTCGCTGATTGTTTTGACAACGTTGACACGAAAAACACAAAGGAAGAATGTTTACGTTTTTAGTACATCACTGTCGTGTAAATGTCCCCTCAGTAGTCTGTTGTCGATTACTGTCTTTACATCCCTCTTGTGTGTGTGTGTGTGTGTGTGTGTGTCGTTTTCTGCCTTTTTTAATGTTTATAAAAGTAATCACAAATACTGTAAAATCAGTAATATTGTCAAATGTTATTACAATTCAAAATAACTTTTGTATTTGAATACAGTCTTCAGTGTCACATGATCCTTCAGTCTAATATGCTGATTTCCTGCTCAAGAAATATTTCCTATTATTATCAATGTTGAAATCATTTGTGCTGGTTTATATTTTTCCTGAAACCGTGATGCATTTTTGTCAGGAATCCTTCTGAATAGAAAGTTCAAAAGAAGCATTAACATTATAAATGTCTTTACTGTCGCTTTTGGTAGTGTATGAAAAATTATGCTTACATTTCAATTAGGAGTATCAAATTATTAAAATAGTATGCCAATAGTTATTTAAAATAAAATCAACTTCCATTTTCTATGTGCCTATGTTGGTAGTAGACAACAAGGCCACTTACTAGGTTTTGTGACAGAATTATTGATTCCTCAGTCCTCATATACGTGTGCACTGAAGTGTTATGGACAGTGTGAGTTCATACTGACATGCACAGGCTTGCTGAAGCAATTATCTGAGAGGTTATACTGACATGTATGGATGCATGTGTATGTGTTGTGTTGTGTCTTTGTAGCTGTGGTGATGCTGGGCATGGAAAGTCAGTGGAAAGCCTGACACATTGACCATGACATCATCTCCTGAAAGTGTGCCACCTGGGCTTGATACAAGAGGTGGAAAGAGTGTGTTCGTTTTCAGGGGGTGGGTATGGAGATGACTGAGAGTTGAAGTTAATTGCTGTAATATGGGCAGGAACAACAGTAAGTTCCTGGAACAGAGCTTAAGAGGAACAGAAACTGTGCAAATCAGATTATCTTTGCAGATGTGGATGCAAAGTGTGTGTTTGAGTCTAAGAAATGGTTTGGAGCAGGTTGCACATGTTTGATAATTCTATGTTATAGAGAGTGTGATGTGTTTACAGAGCGGTTCTTGCTGTAATAGACTCATACTGTCACTCCAATGAATGGGTGATTGTGTAAGAGCGTATGTGCGTGTCTGTGTACATGTGTGTTCCTCAGAGAGATGACCTCATCCCAGCCCCGGTGGGCCAATGAGCTCACACACTGCCTTCATAGCAGCCAACCACACAGGCAGGGTGGCACGGCACACTATTTTGTTTTTTTCACCTTAACTTGCCAGTTGCACGCAGTTTGAACTGGTACTTTGGAACTGAATGGAGCTACAGGGGATATCCTCCCTGACCATAATCTGATCATGCTAGAGCTGCACGGTTAACTGTTAAAATCTCGATTCAAGCACCCATGCGATCTCATTCATAAATGACAACGATTTGTCTATGTCTATTAAACCTTTGACAAAATCACACGGGAACAAATAAAAGTTTATATCTTGGATATAAACACTGATGTCTATGGAAGTGAACAAAATAGAGCAAATCCTTTTGAAAGTAACTTGCCGCTTCTAAATAACGATTGTATAATTTTATTTTTCTAATTAATTAAACATTTTAGATAGACTGCATCAATTCCCATTGTGTCAGGACTTCTAGTAAATTACATGTTATTTTGTTTAGTTGTCTCTTGTCTGTTCAGAATCGTGGGAAATCGTGATCTCTATTTGAAAGAAAAAAAATTGTGATTCTCCATTTATCCAGAATCGTGCAGCTCTACATCATGCTAAAACTCTAAAACATGAAGACTTCAGAGATCCAATATAAACTGCGTTTTCTAGGATGTTTTATTTGTCAGCGGCTTGATTTAAAGTCCAGAAGACAAAAAAATAATGCATTGCAAACATGTAGAAGAATCAAACATTCATTAAAAAAAGGTTTGCTTTTTGCAATAGTTTGTACATAGTCAACAAATAATTTTAGCACTGTAAAACCTAATAAGTTGGCAGAGCTAAAAAAAAAAAAGAGATTAAGTAGATTCTAAAATCTTGATTTTGTACTACCCAAACATGTTAATTGCAATTTAATTTAAATTTTGACTAAGCTAAATTTCAAATACTTCCCTACTATATAGTATGCGAAAAATAGTATGCCAAAAAAGTAGTATTCAACAAAACAGTAGGCAAAAAGCCCCTGATGATCTATTACTTCTGCCGATATTCTGAAGTATGCACTTTACTATCCCATGAGGCCATGGGAGAGGATTTATGAATGGAAGTGAAGCTGACATTAACTGACACTGGTAGGTCACATGACAGTAGAAACATGGCGAATGTAGTACATCCAAATTTAATTCATTCAACACACATTTTATATATAGAACTTTTTTTAACGGTTGCGAAGTAATTTTTAATTCAAATGTAGTACCTACTCAGATAGTATACCATTTCAGATGCAGCTATATTTTTGCAGTCCATCCTTCACCTAACTACAGGATCTACTCTTCACCATAATGGTAACCCCTGCAACACTGCAACATAACAGAAACCCCTTCACAACACTAACACATCTCTCCCTATATTCATCTTGTGCAAAAACACACAAAATAACACTTAATTTCAATATTTACTCACCCTAAGCAGTGTGATGCACAGCATGCTTGGAACTAGAACTCTGCTGTACTCATTCAGTTTAAGTTCAGCTTATTAAAATCAGTTATTGAGTTCACTTGACCTTTTTCAATTAAGTGCAATGAACTTTCAGTAATATTTGAGTGAAATAAACTCATTTCATCTGGTTAATTTCATAGTTCTGGTTTACAGTGTGCATTTTACCAGAGTATTGTGGAAATATTAATATAGTATACATTATATGCCATTCTGCTCTATAAATACCAGTATGGGCATCTGTTGACATATCGGTTGAACAATATTCAAATGACATTTATATTGTAGGACTGTAGTATTCGACTTGGTACAGTACACTGAAGAAGAGTAAAGTGAAACATGGTAAATTGTCATCTTACCCTGGACTTGAATGCGAGGATCATTTTAGGGAGGAACAGTATGAGGCATTTGAGCTCGATGGTGAAATATTTCAGCACAAAATCTGTTATTCCAACAGCCCAGATCAGGTCAAAGAAATCAAAACTATTGATGTTTGGCTTAGCAAAAATAAGGCTGGGGAGAAAAAAAATATTTTTTTAAATGTTTCTTAATATTGTAATTTATAATAATATCATTTAACTACAAATAATGTGATTTTATAATATACATTTAGAATATTTATTTAGGATATACTACCATTCAAAAATTTGGGGTCAGTAGGAAATGAATACATTTATTCAGCAAGAAAGCATTTAATTAATCAAAAATAAATAAATTGATAATGTTACAACAGATTTATATTTCAAATAAACGCTGCTCTTTTAAACTTTCTACTCATCACAGCATCCTGAAAGAGTGCATCAAGGTTTCCACAAAAAAATATTAAGCAGAGCAACATGTTTTCAACACTGATAATAATAAGAAATGTTTCTTGAGCAGCAAATCATCATTTTAGAATATTAAAGTAATGATGCTGAAAGTTTCTTTTAAAATATATTAAAATACAAAACGGTTATTTTAAATTGTAATAATATTTCACAATATTACTCTTTTTACTGTATTTTTGATCAAACAAATTAAGTCTTAGTGACCCCAGACTTTTGAATGGTAGTAAATAAGAAATAATAACAAACAAACTACTAAAAATGAAAACAGTAAATGATTTAATTTAAAAGCTGGTTCAAATGTGAATAATGAAAAATGATGGAAAGCTAAATACTCACAAATGCTGATATACACAAACATAAAATGAGAGATCACGCTGCAAAATGACAACATGGAGTAAATGAAAATTTTCAAATGTATAAAGCAAAAAAACATAACATTCTTGGAACATGCAGGATAACATAAAAATAGATGAATGTTTGATACACATAATCAGTTACAATAGTGACTCTGAAACTAATGAATGGGACTGTACCTGTTTTGAAGTTCCTCAACACTGAAGGTGTAGTACACATACACAATGTTGCCAGCGAGAAAGATCATAATCCAGAGAGTGGTAAACACAGATCTCTCCTCCTGAAAATACATCCCATCACAATGACACGTACAGCATGTACTAAGCAGAACAACTGGTCATTGTTGAATTAATACAGCAGTGTCATTCTGGCTAGGAACTAATTTTAAAAAAAAAAATAACGTTGAAAGCACAAGTTCATTGTATTTACACTCATCAAGGGAGCTAGTTGCACATTACTGGATATAATAAGAAAAATTTAACAAAAAAATAATATCACACACATGACCTTTATCAAAGCAGTTATTTATTAGAAACTTATCCAATGCGACTTGCGGGAAAACCCCACTGTAGTGACTTAATACAGTGACTTAACACTGTAGTGACTATGTATACACTATACTGTTCAAAAGTTTGGGGACAGTTGATTTTTTTTTTTTATAGAATTTAATACTTTTATTCTGCAAAGTTACCTTAAATATATCAAAAGTGACAGTAAAGACATTTGCAATGTTACAAATTTCAAATAAATGCTTCTAATGAACTTTCCATTCATCAAAGAATTCCACAAAAATATTAAGCAGCACAACTGTTTTCAACATTGTTAATAATAAGAAATGTTTCTTGAGCAGCAAATCAGCATATTATAATGTTTTTGTAGTATCGTGTGACACTGAAGACTGGAGTAATGATGCTGAACATTCAGCTTTGACATCACACAAAAAAAAAATCATACTGACCCCAAACTTTTAAACGGCATTGTATATGTCTTGTTTGAGGGCAAATGCAAATGTCTCCTAGTGTATATGAGCAAATGCAGAAACCAGACCAGCCAGTAATTTAACTAGAGTATAAAACGATGAATCAAACATATCTCACCCGCAATGCCACCTGATGCTTCAGCGTTGAGTTAGCAAAGGCAAATGTGCTGATCATTCCAATGCAAACAGCAATTCCTGAGAAATACAAAGAGAATCATGTTTCAGCAACTTGCATTTTACATATCTTCTGAATATGAATACAGTAATTATTACATTTCAAATTATATATTAATTATCTCTGGTCCAACAAAACATCAGCGATCAGTTGCTCTAAATAGCATATCACAATCTCAGTGATAACAGCTCATATATTGAACCTACCAAGCTTGTGCTGAAAGCAGACTTTAGCAAGGAGTATGAGGATAAAAGGGAATCCTCTCTGAAGCCATGTGACCACAGCCTTGAGCTCAGAGAGAGCAGGAGAAGGTGTAGAGGCATCGTCACCTGCGAACAGGTAGATATGTGAGAAATTTTGAACGGAGAGTTCACCTAAAAATGACAATTCTGTCATCATTTACTCCCCCTCAAGTTGTTTCAAACCTGTATGAATGTCTTTGTTCTGCTGTACACAAAGGTAGATATTTGGGAGAATGTTTGTAACCCATTGACTACCATAGTATTTTTCCCCCTGCTATGGTAGTCAATGGGGCCCAAGATCTGTTTGGTCACCAACATTCTTTAAAATACCTTCCTTTGTGTTCAGCTGAACAAGAAAAAAAGTACCGGTATCATGGTTTTCACAAAAATATTAAGCAGCACAACTGTTTTCAACTTTGATAATAATAAGAAATGCTTCTTGAGCAGCAAAATCAGCATATTAGAATGATTTCTAAAGGATCATGTTATGCTGAAAACTGGAGTAATGATGCTGAAAGTTTACAAACAGTTATTTTAAATTCTAATAATAAAACGGTAGTGTATGTATCATTACACTAAAATTGTTCATGACAAGTCACCTTTATTTCTATAGCGCTTTATACAATACAGATTGTATCAAAGCAGCTTTACAGTGATAAATAGGAAACAAATGATTCAGTGTTGCAAAAAGATTTCTATTCTGCTGTAAAGCAGCTCTAAAAACACAATAGTAAACAGTCATTATTCAGTTGAAATCAGTTCAGTGTTGATTCAGTTTGGTTCAATGGATCATGTGGTCCTTGGTGTTGTAAACTAAATACATCTCTCACCTCCATCATCTCTGCTCCCGTGCCTCTCAGCAGAGGTGGCCGCATGCAGGAGAGAAGAGCGGTGCTGGCCGGAGTGATGATGAAGATGGTGGTGATGATGATGATGATGGTGCGGAGGAGGGCGAGGAAGATAAGGTGGGCTCTCTGTCCGGTGAGAGCTTTCGTCCCTTGAAGAGGACACCATCTGAATGAAGACGTCCGGTGGAGAACCCAGAACCATTCCCGCAGACTGGAAGGGAGCTGAGGACACGTTCCCCGCAGAGACGCCCACCAGACCAGAGAAAAGCTGCTGGGGCGATGTAGGAGAGTCTGGCTTCAGACAGTCAAACACTCCTCCTTCATCAAGACTACTCTCTGAACCGAGAGTTTGACTCCTGTTCCTGCAACGAGACAAGAAAGCAGTCTGCATTTGCACTGCAAGGCCTAATGCACATGTTCCACTGAATCAGTAGCAGAGTTGCTTGTTTGTTTGTTTGTTTGTTTTTTCGAACATTGGGCTAATGGGCTTCAATACAACTACATAAAAAAAATCAGTGTGATTACATGGAAAAATTAATATATATTTGTTAAATAAAGCATTAGCTAATATAAACTAACAATGAGCAATGTATTCTACAGCATTTATTCATTTTTGGTAATAGAATTAAAATTGTTTATTTGTTTGTGTTACAATGAATTAATTAACTGATATTAACAGATAAAACTTTTTATACAAAAATTTTAAATGTGTATTATTGTTGAAATTTGCATTAACTGAGAATAATAAATGCTGTAAAAGTGTTGTTTATTGTTAGTTTATTTATGTTAACTCTGTAAAGCTTGACATTTGAAATAATAAAAAATAAAACAAAAAATTCAATGAAAACATTCATTGAACCTTTAGAAAAAATATTTGATACATCTGGTTTTTGTGGCTTATGTAGTATGATATAGGAGAATATACATGAATTGAAAAAAAAAAAAAAAGTTTATTCAGAGGCCCAATCGGAGCAAAAATATACAATTTGGTACGGTTGCTGATATTTATATGGCCAAACAGTAAGATGAAATTCTGATAGCTTCTCATGAAAATAAAGAAGAATTTTATAACAGTATAGCAGACTTCTTACATAAAATACACATAAATAACAGTTGTCACTCTATATCTGCCAATAATATTTCTTAGTAAGCTCATATTTAAATTCTTAGAAAAAAATTATTTCTAGAAAAAAAACAAGGTATGGATAATCAAGTAACCCTAAGTTGCTTCAGTCCATCATGTGTTCATCTTCAAATATTACCAACAACATTAAAGCTATTTCTAAATTCACAGCAAAAAGACACGTGAACCAAGATCTCAAGGTGGACATATTTACAATTATACTACTAAACAGACATTTCCTTGCTAAAACAGTATAGACTATCAATCAGATGACAGAAGGGATGTAGTAGATCGTGTACAACAGGTTTTTCACCAAAGTTTTGATCATGTTAATTTAAAGGCCTTATAAATGTGCTTTATAGCGTTAACTAATGCAGTTCACAATTGTTGTCAAATGAATGCCCAGTGATTTAATTCAGTAACTATACCTGAACTTATTTGTCAACTTACAGTGACTTAACAGGTAAAGCTTGCTGACTAAGGATGGTTCAGGCTAGAAAGCCTGGAGGGGCAACCAACATCAAACACAAATGCTGGTATCCAGATAAAATTATGTTTTAAAATTAGACTTAAAACTGTAAAGATGTTTAGAGTATATGAGTAAAACCCAACCTTTCTGGTGGCATGCCCTCGGTGTTGCTGCTGTGGCGTCTCTGCATGGCACCCGCTTTATCACCAGGAGCTCCAAAACTAGGGTAAAAGAAACACAAAGTTACGATTTAAGAAAAATGTACTTACTATTTACATAAAACAATTAAAATAAAATTGTGCACAATGACATTGTATAGAATAATTCAGAACATTACATGATATTGTGATGCATAAGAGCATGAACAGTATACACACTATAGAATAGGAAATGTTTAGATGATGAAATTGTGATATACAGTTGTAATTGAAATGATTCAACCCTCCAAAAGTACCAAAGATGCTTGCCATGAAGGGGTTGAATAATTTTGAGACTGCAGAAGTCATTAAAAGTTGCATTTTCAGTTGAATTTGGGGAAACCACTTGAAACATTAGTTGTGTTGAGCGATTTCAATTACTTTTGTTTGATTTGTTTATTGCAAACAGCTGAAAGTCTGTAAATTTTGCTAATAAACCTGATTTGCAATGGGGTTTGAATTTTTTTGATTACAACTGTATATAAGAGACAGTTCAGAGAGGACCTAATTTCTTCCGTGGAACACACTGTGGAAACATCTCTGACAAGAAGTTTAACAGCTAATAATGAGCCGCTTTCTTCCATAAAAAAATAAAATAACATATATTTTTTAAAAAAACCTTCCTCCATGAATGACATTTTAAGAAAAAATAGTAGCAGGTTTTGCACTATATTGCTAGTCTTCTGAAGCAATGCATCTTTAAGCGAGGAACAGGCTGAAATTTCATTATTCGCTGAAAATCATGCTTGACAGCAAAAGTCACCTTTCACTTTTATTTTATGAAATGCAGCCTAAACATACAACTATGAATAACTCCTATTATGTTCCACAGAACAAAAAGTCATATGCATTTTGTAAAATACAAGGGTGAGTAAACGATGACAGAAATTTCATTATTGGGTGAAGGAAAGATAAACCATTTAATGAATTTCATTACATGAATGTGTGTATGTATTCCAGATGTATGTAGATAGATATATCTCATTTATTGTAAAAGATAGATAGATAGATAGATAGATAGATAGATAGATAGATAGATAGATAGATAGATAGATAGATAGATAGATAGATAGATAGATAGATAGATAGATAGTATGGTAAACATTTGAGACAGACTGACAGATAGATAATAGATAGATAGATAGATAGATAGATAGATAGATAGATAGATAGATAGATAGATAGATAGATAGATAGATAGATAGATAGATAGATAGATAGATAGATAGATAGGTAGATTACATTTTCTATGTTGTTATTTTTTTTATGACAGTTGTGTAGTAATATCTATAGTAACTATAGTATTTTAGGCCGAACTAATATTTCTACACTTTGGAAGAAGCCATGGATGAACATTAGCCTGTCTGATGAATACTGCTTTTTTCGGTTTAAACGCCCATCTAGTGTCTTAGAAACGAGCAGAATTATCTTACCTTCATCATAGCTTGCAACAGAAACGCACAAATTAACCTTTAACCGCTGTTTTGCGTGTTTTTCTTTTTAAACATAAACCCTAAAAATGTGAAAACATCAGTCAGTGATGTAGACTGCAGAGCGGATGTGAACCGATTTGTATCCGGAAGTACACACGGTGGGCAGCCAATCACGACGCCGGGTTCCCCCGCATTTCCGCACGGAGAGAGCTGTTGTTGTACAGCCTAATTTCTGTAACTCTAAGTATTTAAACAATTTACGATCTAAACAAATAATCTCATCACAATCCTGTGATCGTGCATATTAGATTAGATTATTAGAGTAAAGCCGCGCAGGTTTCAATCGGGTTGACAGCAATCTGGTTTTGTTTGGGATTTTGCAGCTAATAGTTACATCTCTCATAATGAGATCAATGTATAAGTCTCCATCCAGAACATTTCATGCATAAAATGGGTTAAATGTCTATACAAACTCACTGTTTGTCCAACTAACGACGGCAATCGATCTCTACCGGCGGCCTTTGTTTGTCATATAATATTCTTCACGCGATCGCTGAGAGTGACAGTGAGTGTGTTTGATGCCGGAGATGCTGTGTTAGATGAATCAGCTGGATCTCTCTGTCTGAGATCACTAGTGCTGTTTATTTAGCTCCATCACATCTACCTGGACCTGGTGCACATCCAGAAGAACGCCTCCATGGTGTTCCGCCGGCTCTTGCGCAAGCGTTGGGTCCTGGGTGTCGTGTTCGGGTTGTCGCTCATCTACTTTCTCACCAGCACCCTCAAACAGGTATGTAACGTTAACGTTAACGTTCGTGGGGTTGTTGATGCTGCTGCTGTGTTGCTGTGTCCCCACTAGGGAGGAACCACGATTGATAGTATGTCCGATAGCAAAAGTCTATTTTTTTTTTTTTTTTTTTTTTTTATCAAAAACCTGTGCTGTCAAATAAATATATTTTTTAGTCCATCTCAGACTCTGCAAAACGGACTTCAGGTTAGGAGATGGACTAAAAAACTCCTAAAACTTACTGGCAGATTCTGGAAGATGAATTCTTCAAACAGGATGTGGTCGTGCTGGTCCTTCAAGAGTCACTCTCAATCTGTCTGTCTATAAAGCCTATTAAAAAAATATATTCTTCATGTATTTTACTACACTTCAGTTTGCGATTCTTATTAAGCCAGGGTAATTTTTTAGGGTTCTTTATCTAAGTCTCTGAGATCCTGTCACCTTGCATTTCTGGAGACTCCAGGTAGGTTGCAGTTCTGGAAACTGGTGGCGCTGGAGACTAAAGGGTTTCACACTTAATTCTTCACCTTAATTCTTAATTATTTACATTAATTCTTTTGCAGTTAACATATGCATTTTCTTCTCCCCCTGTATTTGTCTGCACCCTGCTGACCCAATGAGCATTTCACTGTCAAATGGTCATGTCTTAATGGCAATTTCTAGTATTGCATTAGTATTGCATCCTTCTTATGGGCATTTCATCATTTTTGACTTTTCAGTCTGCGTTAAATCTCTTTTTTGGCTTATTTGATCTGTAAAGGAAAACATGCCTAATAATTATGCACACCTGAATATAAGGCGTTTTTCATTTCCAGCCTTCATGAATAGTTATATATATCACTTATAAATAATTAAAAACAAAATGAATAGTAGTTATTAAGATTAATGTGGTTTGTAATTGTTAAAATGTGCCTGGAAAAAAAAAATCAGAAAATCAACGTGCCTAATAATTCGGCACGCAGTGTATATATATATTGGATTGGTTTGTGATGATAGGAAACCACATTTTAGAGACCGTCTTTGGTACACTGCAGTTGTAAGGAGAAAATATTTAGCAAAATGGTGAATTTGCACATGGTTTGTCTTAAATTATATTAAAAACCCCACATAAACAAATAAACAACTTTTAAAACTTGATTTTCACTACAGGGGGTCTTTTAACTAGCTTGACCAGCAATAGGCCCTTGCTCATCTCAACTTCTGAGAGGGGACGAACCATGTATTGGAAAAGGAATGATATTCTGTGTGTGACATGTGATGTGTACAGGAGGAGCGAACCATCCGAGATCGGACCCTCCTGGAGGCGAGGGACTCGGATCACCCTATCCAGTGGAAGGTCAAGTTCATCCTGGGCAACAGCAGCAGGCAGATCTCACAGTGCAGAAACTCAATTCAGGGAAAGAACCTTCTCACTGATGAACTGGGTAAGTGATCATCCCCTCACCACCGTGGCCAACTATTCACAACACAGCCGTTAGGCATTAAAGGTAGGGTAGGCAATTTCGCAGAGGCGAGCAATAGCAAGCTAGCTTTGAAAGCATGAGATCCCACCCTCCCTTCATTCCAAAGCCATGCCTCCTTCAAAACACATGAACGCACTCAGCAGTGTCTGCACAGCGTCGCGAGAGACGTCATTAAATTACCTCATGTCTCAAAAGAACATAACATTACAATAATTTTGAACGTGAACAACTTCCAGAGCTCTAGTTGTACCAGCTGACTGCTGCAGTTACTTTCAGCGCTGATAGAGTTGACCTAGAAACGCATAATCCGAGGCTGTGGACGTGAACAGCTCCGGGTGGAACGCAACGGGTTGCCATCTAGTAATTACAGGGGCGTAGTAACCGGGGGGGACACGTCCCCCGCACTTTTAGAAACAGGTGATTCTGTCCCCCGCGTTTTTTTTTGACCCAGTGCCACTATTTCCGCCCGTGTTCTCTGATTTGTTACTTAAACTTGAGTGAACTAACATTCAGCCAATCACAGCGCGAATCATCTATTGGGCGCGTCTGCCATAAGCTTCATATATCTTGTTGCTCTTGCGAATTTTCGTGTTCGTTTTTAGTCGCTTTGCTGTTTGGCCGTCTAATGCACCCCAGAAAAAAAGTAGAGGACAATTACATAATTTTTTTTTAAACACACTGTAAGTATATTGTGTTACAGTATGTCGCGATGACATGAATCACACGTAAAGTTTCCTTGTTATGATTAAACCTACTGTAACGCAGTAAGACAACAGAACCCGTATGGACCTCGTCACGTCGCGCCGGATTGTGCCGAGTGTTAAATGCTCTCCTACTTGTTGCTTTGGATAAAAGCGTCTGTTAAATGAGACATAACAGATTATTCCCAGCAGGCACACTACGTCATAAGGCGTTGATATTTGGTTAAATTTCGGTTGCGACGTCGGGTGACCAAAATTCAATGTAAATTCAGCATCTAATGTCAATGTTAAATTGATGTCCAATACCGAATACATTGATTTAGGTTTTACTGATATATTTTTATAAAATGTCTGTTGTATAAAATTACTGTAGGCTAGATGTAATCTGTATACTCATTAAACACTTTTTTTTGGTCCAACTGTTAAGAAGTAAGATAAAAGTTATTGTTCAAGTGTAGTTTAACTGAAATATTGTAAATATCATAAAATATTTTTATTTCATAAAAAATAAAGTATAGATGTCCACAGTGGTCTGACAGTCCCAAATCCTGCAGTATTTTTTTATTTCGAGTATGATTTCACAAAAATAGGATGCTGTAAGCTATCATATTGTAGCATATTCCTTTTGTAAAGCTACAGAACTTGTTTGACTCATCAATGTTTTGTAAGTTTGAGCCATGTGTTTATTAAGGTCTGAAATAAAACAAGATGAAATATTCCCAGCACTTTCTGTGATGTAGTATGTTTGTTTATCACAGGAAGTAATAAGTAATGACTCTTTACATTAAGGTAGAAGCCTAGTAGTGAGAACAGGGTGTTGGGGAATCACTTTTTCTCTCTTTTTCATCAAACCGCAGTTTTTGCAAGTTCCCGCAATTTCATCGCATAAAATTGCATAATATCCCGCATATTCCATCGCATTTAAGAAAACGTGCCACATAATCAAGGATTTTTGCCCGCAACAATCACAAAAAAACTCCGCATTTTTCTGGAAGGACTGACCTTTGGGTCACATCACCATACAGCTTTTGTCCCCCCCACTTAAATGGCTGCTTCGCCCCTGAGTGATCACGATTACAACATGGCGTGAACGCAGCATAAGCTCATGGTTTTGGACCAGCAGGAAGTGTAAAGGGCGGCTGCTGTTTTTGCTTGTGGCGCTCGGTGACTGTCTACAACTCTGCGTTACACAACGTGCTGATGACGTGTGATGTCTGTGCGAGCAGGGTGCATGAAATACATATGTTGACAGCTAGGATTATTCAGAGCGAATCCAATGATTGGACGAACATTTTTTGGTCCTGAGACAGAAGATATAAGTACATATTTTTACATTTAGACCACTTCTGTTGATTGCTATCAGGATGTGAAAAGAGTTTCAACCAGTATCACAAAATTGCCTACCCTACCTTTTAAAGAGTGTGCTCTGTTGTAATTACTGGTGTCATTTCCACTCTTGAAACTTGTGCTGTGTAAATTGTTAAATATTGGGGTGAATCTCAAGAACCAATGTCCGAGTCCTATTTCACCCCCACAATCAAAAATTAGAACATTTAAAGAAAATTATGTACATAAAATTTTTTTTTTTTTTTTTTAAATGCACATTTTGCCCCAGTTCTCATTGCCCCAGTTCTCATTAACCCAGTGCAACTTTGAGGGTTTTTAATAGGGATTATTCATTGATTGCCATTACTTTAATACTTACTGTAATCTGGGATTTTTCCCATTATTGATATTTAAAATCAGCCTTACTGAAATTTGCAATCTGTAAAATGCAGTTTTTCTCATTATTATTTAAAATCAGTGTTAAGATAGTACAGTATTAAACACATAAATAAATATATAATTTGTCCATTCTGCGGTAATGAAAATTTGCCAGAAAATGTGGTTAATTGTAATGAAAATAGTGTTAAAATTCTAAAATCTTTTCATTTTTCATTTGGTTTTGGGTTGAGGTATGACTTGGACATGTTCTTTAGTTGTGAGATTCACCTGATTTTGGACTAGTTTTATAAGGTGATTGCATTTGTTAATAGGTGGAACTTCCGAGTGACACTTTTACAGTATTAGTTGAGGGAGAAACAGGGTCGTAGCAACTTTAACTGGATTATTATTGCCTTTGGAGAGCATTTTGTCTTTTTATGGGATTGCATTTAAAAATAGATGAGGAGCGTGACTGTAAAGTATTGGGACAGAGAGGGGAGAATGTGAATTGATGCAGGCTTTAGAATGACTAACCACGCCATGTTTGATGTGTAGCTCCTTTTTTCAAACTGTCTCTGGGCTTATGTGTATTCACGTGTGACCAATTTTCCGTTTAACACAGACTTTCCTTTTTCTTTCTCTTCAGGTTATGTGTGTGAGAGGAAGGATTTACTGGTGAATGGATGTTGCAACGTTAATGCTCCCAGCTCGAGCCAGTATGTCTGTAAAAGCTGTCTGGCCAATGGATGCTGTAGCATCTATGAGTTCTGCGTTTCCTGCTGCCTCCAGCCTGATAAGGTACTTCAAACAACAAATCTTCATTTTTATTACTATTCATAGTGTCTGAATTACTTTTAAACAGTCCAGCAATGGATGAAAATCTTTTTACTAGAATGGTTGTAATCAGGGTCCAAAATGAACTTTATGTGGAGTGAGAAAGTGTACATTCATTTTGTAATAATAAGGAATTTCTTTGTATGTCTATTAAATGCTTTCATCTGCCACAATAATATAATGTACTTGGGTTATCTTATGGGGCTTTTCTCATCACATATCGAATATGTGATTAGTGTATATGATATATTAGTATTATTTATATATTATTTTATTATAGATTTAAATTGACTGACGTTATTTTTATTTGTTTATAATTATTATTTACAACTTATTTCATGGTGTATATATATATATATATATACACTCACCGGCCACTTTATTAGGTACCCCATGCTAGTAACGGGTTGGACCCCCTTTTGCCTTCAGAACTGCCTCAATTCTTCGTGGCATAGATTCAACAAGGTGCTGGAAGCATTCCTCAGGGAGTTTGGTCCATATTGACATGATGGCATCACACAGTTGCCGCAGCTTTGTCGGCTGCACATCCATGATGCGAATCTCCCGTTCCACCACATCCCAAAGATGCTCTATTGGGTTGAGATCTGGTGACTGTG